GGATTCTCATATTCTTGCATCCGTCTCAAAACCAGGCTTTTGAGTGCCGGAAGGTGCACCTTATCTTTCGTTTGTAGGGCTGCAACAATATACTTTTTTCGCGTTACTTTCTCTCGCCGAGTGGSTCCGRTCCCAACYRCTACAACTTCCCATACTAGTGTTTTGATTTCTGCCACGTTTTGCTTKTCTCCRCGGTCAAATTTCATGGCAARTGAGTGCTCGAAAGAAGTTGATGTGGTGGCGGTATCTTCTTCCTTCTTTTCTTCGGATTCGTCTTCGTTATCTTGGACMATAAACGTTTCCGAGAGGGGTATTCCGTGGATTTCAAGGAGACGATTTTGCAAAAGTGTTCCTTCTTCAATCGACGCAGTCGGACWCGCTYCAACCTCTACAGATAGAAACTCGGTATAATTTTCCGTGGGAGGTATATTTGTAGTCGTCGCCGCCATTGTTGTAGTTGGATAGAATTTGWTGGCGCAAGAGGGAGAAATGTTGCTTCCAAAGCTAGTGATCKTTCTCCTGTWATGGCGATAATTTCTTCGCAGAGCTTTCGATACGGACGWGAATGCCAAAACTCCGACAGCAGTTCTTSGGGCACACAAGACCAAGGACGTTCCTAATACAACTGCAGAGAATACGACTTTTCTGACAACTATCTTTTTTGGATGAGGAGGGGTATTCTTCATCTCCACTCTGCTACCACAAACTGTGATGTGGAATGATTSCTTGTGGATGATTCGCCTTGCTCAGGGGATACACCCATTCTGCAAATAAGAAACTTCATGTAAGAGTGCAAACGAGACCTGCATAGGAGGGACAATCGCCTACCGATTGGTCTGGGTACGGCTGGAATTGGTGAAACGCGCTTTATTGGGCGATCTCACCTCTGAGCTGTGTTTTCTGTGGTGGTTTTCGTTTTGTTTTTGAACGTATTTCATTCCAATTTTTTCTTTCAGGAAAAGATCCCGTCGGATGAACAGTAGTATGGTACGTATGAATTACCTACGTACGTGCTCGTATCTACTCGAAGGGGTAATAATTTGTACTGTAGTACGAAGTAATACTCATTTATTCTGCTTACTCGTACGGGTACTTACCGGTGCTTGAATCGAGTAAGTCCTTTACTTCGTAACGTTCCGGACAATACTTGACTTGCTTTTACTGATACGTACGTACGTACGTACGTACTTACAAAAGTGCGATCTACGGTACCTGGTGCTGTACGGTATGTACGCAGGTATTTGTTGAAGCCCCCCGAGTCAAGCGAGTCGAGTCTTTTGTAGTACGCACTTATTGGTGGTGAGGAGGTATGATGACGACATCCACGTCATTTAAGCGGAAGAGAAGGATTCTTGGAGCCAAATGGGAACACTGAAAATGTCTTACCTCAAGGCATAAGGCTAGAAAATAAATTCTATGTCGGCGAGTTATTTTTGATGGGTCTGAGAAGATGGCTGGGTAAGTCCAGYGGAATCAAATTTAAAATGATAGGAAATGAAATCGTGTCACCTACGAGGTACCCTGATCTCTCAACATCGTACCAAAACTTCGTGAACACACGTATTGTATCGTTGGAAGTGCCATAACGGGAGGTTTCAAACAAGGCAGCAACCAAGTAGAGTAAGGGCTGAGCAGAACCCAGTGCTGACAAGAATTTATTATCCGGAGCATTGTTGGTGGCAATACCTGTCCAGAAACGATACGGTAAGAACGGACGTTGACAATGGCGAGCGACTTCTACTGTGGAGCGGGCTGTAACAGCATTGGAGGAGAACTGATTGGCCTGGCCAACATAACACCAAAACCTTCTGCTGTGTTTTCTACGTCGTCGTCAGGCTCGGCTCTATCGAGTTTCGATGGCGATGGCAGCGGCGATAGTGACGATGCCACCCATGATGTCGGCAGCTGCGAAGAAGTATACCGAGGGCAGCAACGAGGATTAAACTCGATTTTGTCAACCAATAGAGCGACATCGCCGCATTTGACTCGCAACAAAGARAAACCAATTCTTTATTTGTSGAAACACCGKATGGCAGAACTATGTTTCGTGCATATTATCCTGTTCGTTTTGATCACCTTCTACATTCAAACTTCCAATAGGATAGAGTTCCAAGCAACAATCGGTGTCGGCACTCAAAGTGGAGTAGCAGCGACATTGACCACCACCTCAAACTCAACTACCYTGACATCTACAGATAACAAGGACTGCATCTATGTCCCGGGGGGAGGCTTTAGTGGATTCTGGTTTTCTCTGGGAAGACTCCAATCCCTAGAAAACCCACAAAACGAACAATTCGTGTGTTATTCTGCGGGATGCCTGGGAGTGTTCTCCATTTTGTGGAACCAATTCGAAAATGAAATTAACAGGAGCGACGATAAAAATAGTCAACAATACGAAAGCTTATACGAGAACGCCCGCGCGGTTCAAGTAGAGTGGCAAAAGGGATACTTGCACCGGTATCGAGTTGTCGAAACCTTTATCGATGCACTCTTGGATCCGTTGGTAAAGGCCGACGAATCGACGTCCSAAGCCTTTCTAGAAATCGCTCACAAGACTATGCATATTGCTACCACCGTGTTTGACGAAAACGCATCTTTGATTCCCAAAGCCACTATGCAGCGACCAAAGGACGTAGCGAGCCTAAARCGAATGCTCTTACAAACCACATGGATCCCCCTCGCCACTGGACMTTCTTGGACCCACAAGGGGCACATGGACGGAGCGTTTTCTATGATCCAACACCCACACTGCCGCAAAAAGGTGGGGCTGGCGACRTCGGTAATGGTCACCACAAACCGTTCTTCCAACACATCGATGCCGCCGTCGTTGTATGAATCCTTTGAAAAATCGGCAATCCTATGGAMGAATGTTCTCAACGTTAATCTCAACAAGCGGGATGTCGAGCGATTATGGARCTTTGGGTTAGAATATGGGGTGTGATGATCAAAAGCAATAACAAACGCATGCGCAAACGGAGGCATCATCGTTTTCGATATTGCATGTATCGCAGCATGCGATACGAAGCCGTAGTAGACGATAGCAACAAGTCGATGGACAGATATAGAGATACTTTGTATATGTGCCACATTTCATATGCAGCATGAAGGACAGATTTTCAATTTATCCCTTCCTTTGAAACARAGCGGATGGTGCAGTATTGTTTAAAGCACTTCTAGTATATAGATTATTTATATTTACAGAGCAGGTCTGCTTGTGATTTCTACTACTACTTCAGGTTTACCAGAACAAAAGGCAGGTTGAGAATGAAGATACAATGGTTTGATTAGCTAAAGCACCCCTCTACTAGTACAAGAACAAGAAGCATGAGAAACCCACTATTCCATTGGTTAGTWCTTAAATTTTCCAGATAGCAAGAGCTTTGAAGGGATCCCAATTGATGCTAACATTTTTGATCTSAAAGATACGACTGATTACCACTGCTGCCRAATGRCAGTGGGAAAACATGCTCAAACAAAGCAATGCTTCTCTCTGTTAATCTGTTTGGGAACGTGAATGATGATCTCCAAATAGATGAAAAATATTTTTGCATGKTGTACTGGAAGCATTGGAAAACAACAGTATCCTCAGCGAGTACTATCATGTAAAGAAGTTGAGTTWTCAAAACGACAACAAGAACTAAGAAAATGCATTTAGCCACTAGCACTTTGTTGTAAAGCAYTGGGAATGATGAACTTTTCCAACAGAACTCTTGTTACTACCACCCCCACAGTAAGGATTACTGGAAAGAATGGGAAGACAACAAATCAGAAGGCTTGCTGGTGGAGTTTAAGAAGAAGAAGTGGTGGTGACAACAAGAACTCTACTAGCAGTATAACTAGTACTACTAATGCACATAATAATGGATGAGAAAATGTAACTGTTGTTGTCTTCTTATGTTGGCAAAAATAATTGTCAGAAACATGAGCATCTTAATTTATTGTTTTGTGGCAAGCCACCATGTAATTCCTATGTCAATCTACTCATTGCCTTTGCAGATGGTGGGACTTCAGCCAACTCACATCAGCGTGAGGAGGAGACTCCCTCTTATTGTTAATTTTTATCTTTGGTAGAAAGGAAARACAAAAGGGATGCTTTTGTTTAACTTCAAACACAGGTTCAAGGAAGATGTAAAAGCTTGTAGAAACTTTTTTATGATTTGAGAACAAATTTGTTGTTGAATGAAAATCATATTAAAATAATTARTTCAAGGGTTGCCACACCTTGAATTGAACTTCCAGAGGACGAGAGTGCTGATGCAACATACATCATACAGACAAGTGTTCAATTAATCATGCATTATGGCATATTTTCTGAATTTTTCAAAACAACAAATTCAAAAAATACAATTGACACAATGTCAGATCATCACATCATTAATCAAAGCTTTAAACCTTCAAATTCAGATTAAGAAAAGGAGAGAATACAGAGACACTATGTAGGCAATGTAGGCATTTCAGATGCTGAAATAGGAGAKTAGATCCAATGATTGAGAAACTGTAACCTCCAAAATCGATCATCAAAAGGCTTTGAATGATCTGTCTTCTTGCAACMCCCCAACTCTCTGGTCTAGATTTCCAAGAAAGGAGTGGCACAATGACAAGGAATTTGTTCTCAACATTTTGATTACTCAATGGCCCAAACAATGAGGATTTCCTGTTCATTTTCTCCTTTAACAGGACTGCAAAATTATTTTTGCTTTGAGACAAAGATCAGATTTCTTCTCCACCCACTTCAATGATCAGTATTCCTAGTATTGTCATGTTTCTGCATGATTGCCAACATATTTATCCAAGAAGGTCCCTACTACAAAGAAGTTGCTAGTACCACCTTGGCCTGTGGAGCAAGAACTACTACTAGCTAGCCAGATAGTAAGAACTTCATACATGTAGAAGAACAAGGAAATTTAGTTGTTTTTTGTTCTTCTTCATTGCCCTCTGACAACCTGCAATACTAGTAATAGTGCCTAGCTAGTAAAGAGGATTGCAGTTTCCTCAGCAAGGCTCTTCAGTTCTTCTGAAACAAGCAGCAGTCTTATTGGTCAAGAAATAAATTGTTGTTTTCTAGCAGTACTGCTACTGCAGCTGCCACCATTACTACTAGTGGTAGATCTAGTAGTAGTATTTCTTAGTACTAGAAGAAATTGCCACCACTACTAGCACCAATAACAAGTACTAGGTAAAACAAGAAGGGTGGCCTGCTTGTCATCAAAAAGAACAAGAACAGCCAAGAAGTCAAGAACACCAAGAACAAGAAGAAGACGAGGAACAAGAAGAAGAACAAGGACGAACAAGAAGAGGAAGATGAACAAGAACAAAGATGATGATGCAAAGTGCCCAAATAGTCGGCATATGTGGCGATTGTGAAGGACCCAACTAAGAGGTTTAGTGAGTGCATCTGCTGGATTGATTTTCCCGCTGATGAACTGCATTTTGATATAAGTCTCTTTTGCAATCGAAAAGGACCCTTCAWAGCAAAATTCAGCAGCTCTCACTTGCCTCGGAGTCGTACAATTTTGGTGGCACGTGCTGTCCCTAAAAGAAAATCCTCGGCGCGCACCCTCGAATTTTTTTCTTTAAGGGACAGCACGTGCCACCAAAATCAGAGGAYGGGGTGTTACTTTTAGTACCGTTGGGTCCGACATACCGTACATACGTTCCACAGGGAGAAAAATATTTTGAATCGACTACTATGACCATTACTAAACCCACGTACGTTCGAGGTGATGTAATCGCATTCGGGTTACTGTTCCGTACGGTAGTTTTCAATGAGCAGCTGTTTTCTCATACGTTTGTTCCATGCTGTCGTTCGACACTCTASGCCAGTCATCAGCAAGAAATGCTTACTACGTTACGTGTAGCCGGATGACCGCTTCCTACCATTCCTGCAGTAGGTGATCGTACGATGCTCGTACGTTTTCCACAACCCGAAAATTCAAAATTTTGTTTGCAGTGACGACACTCTTCTTTTGGTTTACATCATTCCAAATCATAAGTGACGTTCCACATGAAGAATACCGTTATTCTTCGGATTCACTGCTTACATTTCAATGAACACATCAAGTTTACGTTAGAAAAGAGCAACGACAAACGATCAAACGACGTACTGTGTTCTCCTATTAGTTAGACGACGTTTCCACATCTTTCATCACATTTCCGCAATTGAGCACATTCGCAAATTGCATTACCTTTAACTGGAAGAATAAAATCCGAAGTTGGTGCCCACTTTTAACAATGTTTTCAGCAGTAATCTTGACGACGGCGATTGCGCTCAATGGCGTCTCTGCCTTTGCCCCGACGTCGGTGCATTCGCAATCTCGTGGCACTTTGTCCCTGAAAATGTCTGATGGATATCACATCGATKTCGACGAACGGTCCCAACGCAATATAGCTCCCTTTGATGAATGGGCAACGAGTTGCGGTGTACAGCGATCGGAGGGATTTCGTCTTGCCCCCACCAACCCCGACGACCAGTACAACCAGGATGATTTTTCCGCCATGACGGATGTTGATCTTCCCGCCGGACAACCCATTCTAGGCATCCCAGTTGACATGATTCTGACCTCTACCAACGCCAAATTGGAGTTGGATTCAATCAGTGATTCTGTCGGAGACGGCGGAGTCCAATCTGCCGTTGACTTGTTGGCTCGGTTGGGTGCCGGTGACACGATTCCAAAGTTTTATTTGTTTTTGAAAGTGCTCTTGGAATATTCACGGGGAACTGATTCTCCATACTACCCCTGGCTAGACAGCATGCCACGTCTATATTACAATTCTGTTTCCATGACAGACTTTTGYTACGAGTGCTTGCCGCCTCTCGTCTTCAGTTTGTCTCGAAGAGAACGGGTCAAGTTCGATAACTTCTACGATGCACTTCAGAAAATTGATTCCAGCATCTTTCCCGACGAAATCAAACAAGACAAACAAAGTCTCCTCAAATGGGCCTTCAATGTGGTACACACTCGATGTTTTACAGGTACCCAAAACGGAAATAGTGGCAACGAAATGGGAATCGGCGAGGGCGGAAAAAATGGGGAGGAACAGAAAATTATTCCCATGGCCGATTTCGTACGTTACACCATTGTCGATTCTTGTCATAGTTGTTTTACATCTATTTGAYCTTGTCGTTGCAGGGAACCTTTGATTTTTTCGTCACAGATCATGCAAATTGWTTTCATTTGTTTTTAAAAATCCGGTTGTATTCATATCTATTTGGTCAATTCAACTGTCTCGGCTGAATGTTTCRATCCCCTTTTCCGTTTATGCACAATCTGATACAAAATGAACCACTTTGATTGATTCTATATTTTTTCGCTTTCTTTGACTTCATGCAGTTGAACCACGCAACAGAGCCCGTCGCCGAAATATCCTACGACGAAGAAGGAAACTGTAATATCTTCACAACTAGCGATGTRCCTGCAGGATCCCAACTTACAATTTCCTACGGTTGTCCGACAAATCCATCTGAATTTTTTGCTACTTACGGATTCCTGGACGAGACAAGTCCGGCAACCTTCTGCAAAATCATGAACATTCAACCGACACCTGAACTTCGAACKATCGGCCTCGATTTTTCGCGAATGCTCTTCTTCAGGGAAACCGGAGACATCTCGGCAGAGGTTTGGGATGTCTTGCTCTATTCAAAAGTATTGGCAAACGACATAGGAACGAAGCAAGCCTTTTACGATGCACACGTTAATGGGGACGTCGACACCAAAAACGCAATCCACGAACAGTACATGGACCAAACATCCACGGCAWTGCTGGAGCACGTCGATACCTTTTTGGAACAACTCGATGTCTTGTCCGCGAAATCCGAGGGCAAAGACTGGAACGAACACCCTCGSTTGCCTTTGATTCTAAGACACAACGAGTTYGTCAAAACAACGTTCGAAAACGTAAAAACACAGTTGGATCCAATGGTCGCACAGTACCAATACCAAGAAGCATAAACTACAATACGACGACGTAACTCCCTGGGTACAGCCGCTAAAGACAAACGAAATGGATCCTAACGCTAAAAATAACATAAATAGTCGCAACCACACGAATGACGAAAGTATCCAATACGAACGATAAAGAATCGTCATGATTACGAACATTCCTCGGTGGCGTTCAGAAGTACAGACATCTATCGGAATGCAGGGAGATAAGTAATTAGTTTGGTAAATGCATCAGAATATATTGTTATATAGCAGCTCTACACAATGAATTTAGAGCCATTCTGAGTTTGGGGAAACTATCTGGTTTCGACTATACCACGTTTCTTTTTTGAAACACAGATGCAAATACTAGGGATCCTGCCATGATTTTGAAGAAGTACAGCAGGGACAAGAATGGTCTTGATTTAATTTTTTTGCTGAAACAAGAAATGGTAGTACTACTACTAGTACTAGTATCTAGTACAGTACCATTACTTGTTTTGTGCTAGCAGTACCACCACTAGTACTAATAGCTAGTACTACTACTAGTATATATTCCCAAATCCTTATGTTTGTGTAAAAATTCTGCTGTGATCACAGTGTAATTAATCACATTTTTTGGGCCACAATTGATTATCACATCTTTTTGTAAACTTCTAGAACTCCTCCTCATTGTCCTCTTAGTACAGCTGGCTTGTGTCTAAGCTCCTGGTGGCCTCAAAGTGGTGATGTCAGCTTAACTACTCATATGTGTTTTTGTGAGATCATGGTGACTCCTCAGAATTTTTTGCTCTACTACTACTCCTCCCTACTACAACAAGGGTCATAAGAAGAAGAAGCAGATGCCTGAAAGAAGATCAAGGAGGGACCTGAGACATCCAGCAGCACTCAGTGGAATTCAATCAGCAGGCCCCCTACTATAGATTGGAATTTGCACATGGGCAGTAATTTAGTAGGTCTACTCATAGTAGTGCTACTAGTACTAGTAGTACTAGTCACTGGTGACTGGAACCATCAGAGCATGTCCTTGTTGCTTCTTGCTTCTTGTTGTTGTTGTTGCTGGTGCTGCCTGCTATCCCTTCTGCTGGTGGTGCAGGTGTTCCTCCTCCTCACTGCAGTCAATTAAAAAATGTGATTCCAGTCACTGTCTTGAGCTACAATTCAACTGTCTTTTTCCTCACTTTGTCTTTGGATTGTATTTGGCATCCCATCTCCTCTATTCTAGTATGGTTCCTCTCCTCTAGTACTGCTACTAGTACTGCTACTACTAGTACTACTAGTACTGCTACTGCTGCTGCTACTACTGCTGCTACTACTCAGTAGTATATGGAGTCTTCGGGGGTAGAAATACTAAAAATCCCAAATGAAGTCTTTTTCATGTAGACCATAGTACAAAATGAATGGCTATTTTTAGAGACTATACTGTTTCTTCCAGAAAATATGCAKAGCCAATAGTAGTTGCTGTTTCTTTGAAAGAACATACTAACAGGTTCGTATCTACGAGTTACGAACCTCGTACCGTAGGACTTCCGGAGGTTTCCCTTCCGACGTCAAAAGAAATACCCGAAGATACCTTTCTGAACTACTTCTACCAAACAATTATGTAGAAGCACTGTGTGTTAACACTGTGCATCTGATGCCAATTCATCCCTCGCCTGTTTAATTTCTCATTGGTAATACGTTCGCGTTCCTCATCCTTGTTTTCAATGGTTAGTAGATCGCAACCTTCCTTCTGTGCAACAACGAATTACTTTTAAAAGTGCGCAAGATATCAAACAACTAGCCATGGACGCAATTGTTGCTGGAGTCGGCGCAGCCGTCAGCTTTGCCATGCTCCACACTGTTCACGACTCGGTTCTGGCCCCGCAAGGCCTTTCATGTCTCTGTCCCCCCCTTGGGGCGGTTGCTGTTTTGTTGTTTTGCTTACCGGGTGCTCCCGCATCTCAGCCCAAGGCTGTCATCGGCGGACACATCCTGGCGGGTCTAATTGGTTATGCAGTTGTCGAAAATAGTATTCCCTACGGCGAAGCCGTCGCCGTGGCGCTAACCATTACTGCCATGACGTTCTTCAAGGTCGTCCATCCTCCGGCCGGGGCGTACGCCTTCTTGTACGTCAACAAGGGGATGGGTTGGAAGGGAATTTTGGCACCGGGTCTTGCCGGTGCAATCGTTCTGGTTTTTGTCCAGCATGTCATCAACAAAGCGATCAAACCAATCATCGTGGGCAAGAAGAAGAAGGATTGATAYTCGATAGGCATTCTGACTACTTGATTGAGTCTTTGTACTCTAGGCATGGTCGGGTCTCGCTAGCACGCATAGCTCTGAGCACCAATCGCAGATTACGAAGTTAATGGATGTTAAACTTTTCGATCGTTGGAGGTTTCTTTCAWGGATCTCGTAACTTTTCGGCGATCCTGCTAAAATATACGTTTATCTCTTTTACCTTTTCATCTAAAGAACCAATTCTTGCATACTATTTCCGTTTTTTTTTCAGCGAAGGACTAAACTTTAAGATTCCTRTTTCGCTTATAGATACATTTGCTGCAGGTCTAGTGTAGAAATTTTTGAAAACCTGAAGTGGGGCAACGTCTACGCAAGCAAAAATGGGACAACTGKCGCGACAATAGAGCTGGTAGTATTTTGAATTCTGGTTTCATCTTACATTCTTTTTACATCATTTACGTCATCGAATTGGCGAACAATCTCTGGAATAATCTGCAATGTTTCAGTAGGATGAGGATATCAATTTTCCATGGGCGAAACATAGTTATAGTTGTCACATATCGTTTCAACCGCAGGTATCGTTTTTCACTTTCTCTTCTCCCTCGAGTGATTTTTGGCCTCATGTCGTTTGAAAGAGCCCTCTAAACAATCATTTGTTTCGATATTTACGTCTTTCGAACTCTGGAAAATTGCCGGTTGGACCAATACTCAATCCACTTTTTTCTTCACTCCCTCTGTGCGGTATTCTTTTCGTAGATAGATGCCCCACGCAATCAATGACATYACATGAAGGCCAACTATCCCGAAGACAAAAGTCTCCAGCCAAGATTGTRCCATTGCTATTGTTTCCTTCTTCAAAGTAAAAAATATCCTTCCGTAGACACTTCTTCGATCCAATGAGAAAGAGAAATTTTGATTTGTAGAAGCGTGGGTCACTTTGAAGGTTGTTGCGGTACTTGTAACTACAGAAACTTGTATCGTGCAATTTAGCACGCATTGGGACAGGAAAACAAAGATTTTGATGATCTGAAGTTCGATCGAAATGTCAGGAGAAATCCAAAAAATCGGAACACCGCCGCACCTATTCTTCTTTTCTTTAGATAGTCGTTCCTTCTCACGCCGGTATGACTCGTAAATCGTAAACATGTTTTCAAGGTTGTCCTGGTACGTACAATTGGTACGACATTGAGTTGAAGAATTCCAGAGTACGAGTAGTCTGAAGTCGAAATGTACCGCACCGGGCGGGTATCGGGTACTTGTACAAGGTACTAGTACCGGTACGTTGCTAAACCTTAAGGACACTTCGAACAAAGAATCTCATTGCGGACATTATTAGTACGGATCGTGACCCTCTTGATGTCCCAAATGACTGTAGATTCGAACACGATTGGGATTTTTCTCATCTTTTTCGTAATTSTGTCACCGGTGCAAAATTTTTCAGAAGAGCAACAGCATGTTGTGCTACGCGTGTCTGTAGCCGTTCCAGTGCAGCCACACTAGGATCTAGAACTGGTGCCATGACGCTCCGCCAAATCTATCCTGGAGCTGGCGACAATTGGATCCGGTAGTCGGAGTACGAGTAGTTGGTCAGAGCACTCTCAATGTGGTGACAAYACTCTTTGGTTTCTGAACAAAGGATCTGTCTATAGTATATCAAGAAGGGAATGCATCATGTGTAGACCTATTGGCAATACCCTTCGATTGACCATCATCCTAGGTTGTTGTTTGGCGGTATGTGGCTGTCCATTTCTAGCTTGAGTGTCGACGTCGGCAAAAATGCAGCAAAACGTGACGWATGTCGCCAGTCGAACGAAATGCTCATCGCCCTTTGCTTCTTCTTCTATCTGCATCCCATATCATCCTCTTTTGATTACCTCATGTGACTTTAGTTTATTTTTCAATCAATAAACAATAAAAATTGCGAGTTTGTGTACAAGGTGGACGAAGAAACCGACGATTATGTTGAAACTGGAACTTTAAACTTTGGATTATTTTATGAGGGATACAACGGCTACTGCTTTGATAACACGCAGGGGTACATAGCCATCGACGACGACGCCAATGTCGTGTTGTCGATTGCMAGGGACGCCCACATTGTTTCCATGACCGCCGGCGGCATTGCCACGTTCTTAGTCGCTATCGACTGGTTAGCATGCAAGGTGCCCTGTGGGACCATTTTAGAGGGGCTTGCCTTCTTTGTCGCCTGGGTGTCTGGACTGTAAGTCTTTAGCGAAAGAATCGAAYCGTGAAGAAAAATACTTGACCACAGAATGTTCCGCGAGTCGGTGTTCGACATTTTSTGCCGGCTAGTCGATTTGCTTGGCGTGCTAGTGGAACATTTGAAGTTCTGCTCGTTCTCACCTGGGACTTGTTTTTCTTTTCCTCCTGCTGCAATCCTCCCAGAATTGTCTACGCCGTTTTCGGAATGGAAGGCTGCGGAACCGATTTCATTGCCACCGAGCTCCTGAACGATGTTGACGCTGCGGCTGCGGAATATAAGAACCAACTCGACGCCGCGACCACGGACTTAACTAGCGTCGGYACATACCCTGGGATGGATGCCACGGAGTTAGGTGCGGATCTAGGTTTGAATTTGAATATGACGGGTGTGAACATCACTGAGAGTTTATTAGAAAAGGGCTTTCCCATCGAAATTGCCMAAAAAATCCCCTTTGGCACAAAGTGTAATTGGGGACCGGGTGCGAGCTTCAATCTCATGGCGGTGCTGATTTATTTTGTGAGTGGAGCTCTGCTGTGTTGTCTACCTGATCCCACCCCGGTTTGCGAGGGTAGAAAAGAGTCAGAACAAGAACGGAAGAGTACGAACTTGTCGAGAAGCGCCGGCAGAAACGTTGTATAATGAAATGTAAAGAAACGTGATTTTCTAACCACCACGTCGCAACTCAYCCTTTGATGGGATATGTGAGTWCATCGATCCAGAACCATATGTTTTTTCTCAGGTTGGTGAAGCGCGAACCTATGAATGACGATTTTGTAGATGAAGCGATCGAACGAGCGAAGATAAAATCATCTTGCTTATTTCAAATAGCATGAAGTATTCACTTTTTTTTGCATCTTGAGTGTATTGTCGTCCCTCAACGGTTTTGCTGCGAACGGGCTGTTCGTTAAAACCGCTTCCTTCGAYTTTTTTTCATCACGGAATGACGGTGCAACAGCTCATCGCSGCCTTATCWCCCAACCACAAACCGGTCGTATTTTCGTCCWGTTCTTCTTCCAAAAAATTCCAGACCTCGACGGACCGGCATGCCGAGAAGACACAGTCGTCATCGTATTTGACGTCCGGTGGYCGGCCGATGTCTCGGACGTGTCGAAAGGTCGGGCAGCATGGAAGTGATACGATGGTAGTAGGAGGAATCCTGYGCCTAGACTGAGAKTTTWTTTGATCYTCTGGTTGTTTTGTCAATGGATGATGTKTATTGGATGTCGTGACCWGGGATCGGGAGGAATAGAGCCATCGGATTCGCTCGATTGAGGCATCCTCCACAAACCTTGCATGAGAATGCACGCAGACCAGCACGAGATGTCTCCAAGAAATGCTATCGAAAGTCTGTGATGAGGACTTTGTTTTGCATTCTGTTGCATTCGTCGCATCTACGGCCATCGGTGGGCGGTTGGGATCGGCGAGAAACTCGTCGAGTTTTCCCTTGTACCCATAGAGACCCTTCACCCCTTTGGGAGCCTCTCCTCTCCATTCTTCCGACAGGGCCGGATCAATGGAAACGCACACCCAGCGCTCGGTTTCCTTGGTCAGGAAGGAGATTAACAGGGCCGTTTGCGGGGTGCATCCGTCCCCAATGCAAAGGCACAGGACACCGCCGTCGTTTCGGACGTTTCCCTCATCTTCGGCCGTGRCCACGCTCCCGTGGTTGAGGATCGCCTGCAACGCGGCCATCGACTCCGAAACATCCTTGGCAGACCGAAAGACCCGCAGGGGGGCRATCTCGGACGCGAAACAGTCCATCCGGAGGAGCTTGTCGACGTAGTCGCAATATCCGAAATTGTTCGGCCGCCGCTTTGTCCCGCTCTCCGCGACGGAGGAGTGGTGCTTCAGGGCCCTCGGYGGGGCTTGCTTGCAGCGCCTAGCAGTTTCTTCTCGAACGCACTGGTGGCAGACCAGGCTGTTTCCATTGCTTCCAGCTCTGCCGCCGCTTTCCATGAATTTTCGAAAGATCTTTTTCTGGAACCGGTGCCTACCAAGCATTCGTTTGCAGCTGCCACACTGATGAAGATCTNGGTGTGAACATCACTGAGAGTTTATTAGAAAAGGGCTTTCCCATCGAAATTGCCAAAAAAATCCCCTTTGGCACAAAGTGTAATTGGGGACCGGGTGCGAGCTTCAATCTCATGGCGGTGCTGATTTATTTTGTGAGTGGAGCTCTGCTGTGTTGTCTACCTGATCCCACCCCGGTTTGCGAGGGTAGAAAAGAGTTAGAACAAGAACGGAAGAGTACGAACTTGTCGAGAAGCGTCGGCAGAAACGTTGTATAATGAAATGTAAAGAAACGTGATTTTCTAACCACCACGTCGCAACTCACCCTTTGATGGGATATGTGAGTACATCGATCCAGAACCATATGTTTTTTCTCAGGTTGGTGAAGCGCGAACCTATGAATGACGATTTTGTAGATGAAGCGATCGAACGAGCTAAGATAAAATCATCTTGCTTATTTCAAATAGCATGAAGTATTCACTTTTTTTTGCATCTTGAGTGTATTGTCGTCCCTCAACGGTTTTGCTGCGAACGCGCTGTTCGTTAAAACCGCTTCCTTCGATTTTTTTTCATCACGGAATGACGGTGCAACAGCTCATCGCGGCCTTATCTCCCAACCACAAACCGGTCGTATTTTCGTCCAGTTCTTCTTCCAAAAAATTCCAGACCTCGACGGACCGGCATGCCGAGAAGACACAGTCGTCATCGTATTTGACGTCCGGTGGTCGGCCGATGTCTCGGACGTGTCGAAAGGTCGGGCAGCATGGAAGTGATACGATGGTAGTAGGAGGAATCCTGYGCCTAGACTGAGAKTTTWTTTGATCYTCTGGTTGTTTTGTCAATGGATGATGTKTATTGGATGTCGTGACCWGGGATCGGGAGGAATAGAGCCATCGGATTCGCTCGATTGAGGCATCCTCCACAAACCTTGCATGAGAATGCACGCAGACCAGCACGAGATGTCTCCAAGAAATGCTATCGAAAGTCTGTGATGAGGACTTTGTTTTGCATTCTGTTGCATTCGTCGCATCTACGGCCATCGGTGGGCGGTTGGGATCGGCGAGAAACTCGTCGAGTTTTCCCTTGTACCCATAGAGACCCTTCACCCCTTTGGGAGCCTCTCCTCTCCATTCTTCCGACAGGGCCGGATCAATGGAAACGCACACCCAGCGCTCGGTTTCCTTGGTCAGGAAGGAGATTAACAGGGCCGTTTGCGGGGTGCATCCGTCCCCAATGCAAAGGCACAGGACACCGCCGTCGTTTCGGACGTTTCCCTCATCTTCGGCCGTGACCACGCTCCCGTGGTTGAGGATCGCCTGCAACGCGGCCATCGACTCCGAGACATCCTTGGCAGACCGAAAGACCCGCAGGGGGGCAATCTCGGACGCGAAACAGTCCATCCGGAGGAGCTTGTCGACGTAGTCGCAATATCCGAAATTGTTCGGCCGCCGCTTTGTCCCGCTCTCCGCGACGGAGGAGTGGTGCTTCAGGGCCCTCGGCGGGGCTTGCTTGCAGCGCCTGGCAGTTTCTTCTCGAACGCACTGGTGGCAGACCAGGCTGTTTCCATTGCTTCCAGCTCTGCCGCCGCTTTCCATGAATTTTCGAAAGATCTTTTTCTGGAACCGGTGCCTACCAAGCATTCGTTTGCAGCTGCCACACTGATGAAGATCTGTCTGTTGTTTTTTGCCATCGTCGTCATTAGTTTTCGCAGACTGGGTAGCCCGCTGCTGCTGTATTAGCGTTTTGGGGTCCATTGTATGTATATTGTAGTTGGACAGAGTGCAAAAGAAAGGTCGACGGCAATTTTGGTGGATAGCATGGTGGTGATGAATGAAATCTGTCAAAAATCTATGGCAATACGTACGACGAGTAGGGTACCAGTACGTACGAGTGTGAGGACAATCCACAATCACGAGTAGATAGTGAATAACCTCACTCTTTATTGTAAACCACGTATTATCGCACACTAAGGAGTCTATCAACATTTCACAGGTTATGAGCAACATAGGACTCACCATCCCTCATCACCTCAACTATAATCAACAGAACTTAATGACATCTGGTTAACGCCACTGTCCGGCGCAACCCCGTAGAGCAGCTGTCTCAACTTCTGCTTTCCGACGGTCGCCATCTTGTTTTTCCGGCGCTGGGAAAACTATTCAGTACCAACCTACGTAGAATTTCACGGCAGAATACCCGAACTCCCCGAACCCTCAGTGCCGACACCTAAGACCGTAATCGAACACTAAGGACACTGTCTTAATAACGATATACTAGCACATAATTCATCACTTCACCACTTCACCATGGTATCCTCCCTCAAAACCTCAAAACCGAAACACAACTCGCGACAACCCAAGGGACAGAGGAGATCAACCGCCAATTCCCCACAGATCCGCAACTTCCTGGTTCCTTCTCCCCGCCAGCGACCATCGAAGGACCAACAACGACGACTTCAACTCTGTTTCTACCATGGCAATATTCAACGGGAACTCCGAGCCATTGAACTCGCATTTCCCCTCGATTCAACCTTGGCTACTATATATTCCACATCTTTATTCCGCTTCAAACCTCGAAACACAATCAACAAAGCACAATACACTCAATCCCTGAACCACATTCACATGACAGCACTGTCAGACCCTGACAAAATTGTAATGCTTGGAGACATATTATCCAGTCTCCTTCATCACAACCACTTCCATCGCCCACATCCACCCAAGCCTAATGAAATCCCACGCTACCAATACAGTCAGGCGTTCATTGATCACTTGGATACTCTCCTTTCCCCTCACGAGGACACACCACCAGCAAAACTCCCCGCACGGCGAACCCCCAAACCTCGTCGCCTTGAGTTGGACGATTCGGAAGATATATCCAGCCCAGAGCCTCCCTCCACACCAACTCGCTCTCCTCATACAAATCTTGTTGAAGAAGCCAGCATAACAGTCGATAGCCCAGACAGACCTCTCAATAGCCCAACCGACAAGACACCACCAGCGGATTCTCCTCTTACAACCGTGGGACTACCACAAACATCCGCTAGCGCTGCGGATTCGGACACTGTGGACTCTTCAGAGTCCATCGAACCACCTCCTAAGGACCTTAATCTCCGCTTTGCCATAGAATACAATGCTGCACAACAACGGAATAACTCTCTGGAGAATAATTCAATCACTGATCAAATCAATGAATATGACCAGGGCTTTGAGCAGATAGACAAAGAAATTACAGCTCTCCAGGAGAGCCTTCCCTCTCCAACCCGTGATAACAACCCACTGAATAGGACAACATCAGTTGACGACGGGGATCCAACACCAACGGAACATCACACTAAATCCCTTATTCAGGAGGCACTTCAACAGCAATCTCAGACTTGGCAAACACAACTTGCTGATGCCAATTATGGATGGCGAACTCAACTGCGCTCAGTCTCCAACACACTTGAAACCATGCGAAAGGAGTATCACACCTCACTTAACTCTAAAGAAAAGGAACTCAGTCAAGCTTACAACACCATCCGAGACCTTGAACGCCAGCTTGCAATGCAAGACTCCCTTCTCACCAAAGCCATGCAGCATAATCAACAACTCACTCATGATTATTCTACTGCTGCATCCACCACATGGGCACTGGATCAACGCCTTGAGAAGGCTTCTACTGCTATCTCGTCCCTCAAGGATGGAACAATAGCACTCATCACTACCAGAGACGAGACCAGCAGCATCACCACCAAAACACTGAATACAGAAGAGTTCACCCGACAGATCCAGGACCTCATTGATAAGAGCAAAAACGAACTGGTTGACTTCAGCAATACTATCGAACAACAGACAACTGATGCTGTTATTACACGAATGCAAACATTAGAAACACGAATCCAGTCACTGCTTGCCACTCACCTCGATGAAATATCGGCTAACAAAGATCCCATCGTTCAGAGCTTGAAAGATAAGGTGTTAGCTACAGTACTTACGGAGATCAATACTCAAGTTCATTCCATCACTGAACAAATTAAAGCGGACCTCTTGGACACAAAAGGGACAATCAAACGAACCACCAACCAATATATGGACCAGCTCCAACACAAGCAGACTTCCATCACCACACTTATCACTCGGGACTCTAATGATGCCAGACAAGATATTGCCACCGCTACGTCAAATGCTCAATCAACGATAGAGCATACAGTTGCTGACCATCTTGCCTCTAAACCGGTGCAACAGATCATTCACGAGCTAATATCAGATTCCATATTGTCTCGGGATTTCCACTCACGTATTGATAACACCCTACAGCATTTTGTTACTGACTCCGAGACCATTAAACAATGCATATCCCAACAAGTACAGTCCATGATCAATCAACAGAGTACCACACCAACCACTACCACATCACCTACTCATTCACCCAATCCGAGCCCAACCCCGTCTCCGATAAAACAAAGGAGACACTCATGGGATGATGCACCAACATGCCAGCGATTCCAAGCTAGCAAAGAAAAAGTACACTCGTTCATCTCCAGAAATCATGTTGAACAAGGACAAACCAATGGGTTCTCTCAGGACCATCACACTACACTCAACATGGACAGGCAACGAGACTACACGCATGAAAGAAACCACCGAGTAAGCAAGGCCATCAACTCCATGGAACACAAACATATAAACACTGGCTTAATTCCCCGGGACAACCGTTACCTCACGGCCACTGAATTCAATGCCATATATAATGACATCCATAGCACGATGACTCTGGAAAGCCTTCCTATCACTCACCTAGATCAACTACATGTACACCACAGTTGTCTTCCACCTAACCACAATGAAACCGAAGATAATATCCAACGGATCAGCACATATCTGTTTCAACGCCTCTCTATGATGTTTGATGTCACCATACACACTAAAATCCGTGGCTTAATGTCACCATATGACCACAAGATGGATGGCTATGGGGCTCTGTTTGCAATCGCCCGCCAAGCACTAACCTATCTTCGACCAACCAACACTGGATGGGGCCCATCATGGACACCAACTGATGATCCTGGTTCGTATGTTGGCAAACTCATGGACCATGTCCGCACGAGCAGGTTGGCAAAACGTCACTCATACTCGGAACTGGACCAGTGCTTTGAGTACGCCACACAGATCATGAACAACTACAGCTTTGCGGCAGGCACCAGCCTTCTATACGGTCTATCGGCCTACAAACAGAAGGTCCCGGATGCTGATAATCGACCTCTACCCAACCATCTATCCCTCACATCCCTCCTCCAGACAGTCCTAGATTATCCAGAAACAGCACATCCAGCACATCTTGGTCCCCAAATCAACCGTGTTGGTGCAAATCAACCTCGCCGGAAGTTTGAATACAAGAACAAAGTCCAATGTGCTTGCTGCCGCACATTTGGCCACAACATTGGAGACCAAGTCTGTCGCTTTGGTGCTCAACTCCACCATGCTCAAAAGTTTGCTGAAGAACACCCGGACTCATTTCATACCAATGCTGATAAGCACAATCGAATGAACATGAAAAATATTGTCAATCTATTTGATCAGCATAATCCTGAAATCTACGACAAAGAACATCACGTAATTAAAAGGGAAGAATGGATACACGCACTGTTGGATACATCACCCACTCCGACTCATACATCAGGGGACAAGGAGGATGAATAGGACACTCGCCGGGTCTTTAGCGAGGCTCGGCCATTCCCGTCCCTCCTGGGAACCCTCAGGAAACGCGGCCCAAGCCTTAGGCTACTCCTTGGTACAGGCGGCTATCCTTTCCCGCGGATTAACCATCCTGACCTTCCGATCTTCGCCACACGAGAGCCTAATCCTACTTCTACTAGTAACTTACCCCCTCCAACCACATCTGACGGTCTATCCCCACAGGGTGATTCCACGACATCCCCGTTGGAGCCTTTGGATCCACCATCGTCAAGAGACGGAGACCAAGATCATGGTGGCCTTACACCTAGTACTCCTACAGTCACACTGGCAAATATTGTGGGGAACTCTTCACACACGTACAACAGTGTACTTCCTAGTACACAGGATTCACCTCACGATCCCCCTGCTTCAACGCCTGTAGACGTCAGTACCAATGACACTACACCTTGCATCACTGACACAGATCCTACGGTTGACTCCCACATTGCTATTCACTCCGTCAACATAACCCCGGATTCAACGCAGCTGCCAGTACATAACACACCCCACGCCACCAACCAACGCTTTAGCGTACTCCCTCTCAATGAAGACTTCAACAGCTCCCCATATACTCCAGTACGAACACCTACTGACCCGAACACAGTCACGCGACCGGCCAAATCTCCAATCCCGGCTTTGAATGATACTTTGGGACTTACGCCTTTTACTCTTGGCACCAATTGCCTCGCGTCGGCCAGTCAGAGCGACCATCCATATATACGAATGGTCCCACACACACACTGGCGCAACTCACGATCCAACATACAAGTTGTTATGGACCCCACGCTTCATCCTATGAAACGTGACTCTAAACTTATGTCTCTCCCTCTCCAGGCAGACACGGGGGCTAACATATCAGCAACCGATAATATGTCCATTCTTCATGACTATAAACCATACGACACACCGGCCGCGGTCGGTGTATTTAGTGCAACGGATACCAACATACCGAACGTGCTTTCAGCACATGGAGAAGGCTTTATTAACATTCTCTCTGACCAGAACACTGTTATGCGTTGGAAAACGCTGTATACTCCTAAGTCAACAGGAACTGTCCTGTCTCCTGATCACTACCAGCATGCACGGCAGTTCTACGCATTTCAACAGGAAGGACGTGCTAATAATAAGGGTTCAGTTAAGTTTACTAATGAACACAATGATACGATTGAATCGATCCAGACCGTACGATCCCACAATGGTGAATGGTATACACCTAACAAAGTATTGGTTCGCAACCACCATGAGGATGAGGACATTGCCAATGAATGTCATCGATTTCGGGCTCATATTCAGCGTATACAGTCCTCTGCATCCAATAAAAAACCCGCCACTTCCACTAATTCAAGCTCCTGGTCAACAGGCCTCTCTAAAGCGCTCAAGAACCTCGAACTGTGGCATCAACGTTACGGCCACGTCTCCCCTTCCACACTCCTCAAGACTAAACAAGTCGTTGATGGTATCCCAGACCTTCCGGCTACCGCTCCATATTTTCGATGTCCATTCTGTGAAAAGAGCAAACTCACCAAATACAGGGGCAAACACAAACCTAGGAAGGAACTATTCATCCCAGGCCAATCGTTCCACATGGATCTTTCTTTCGTTAGTGGTCCACCAAATCTCACTGCGATCACCTCCTCTAACGCAAAGGCCCTCCCAACACTCAAGAAGAGTCGTCATGGCTATATTGGGTTCCTCACTATCATTGATGCTGCAACACGGACATTATGGACCTTCCCTATTAAATCTAAAGAACCCCCTCTAGATATCATCGAAAAGTTCCTCAAGAAACATGGTATCAGTAACACGGATCCTCGCAAAGCCATTACCACAACTTCTGATGGCTATCTTGCTCGCTCTAGGGCATTTGGCCAATTGGCTCGTGACAACTCTTATAATGTATCCCCCGAGGACTATAGACACTTCCTTCACTTGCTTCCTGACCATCTTGACTGTACCATCATGACTGACGGTGGCGGTGAGCTTGCTAAATCGCAAACGTTTCGTCAAACACTCACAAACCATGGCTATGACACCACGACCACTGCTGCTGACACCTCGTCACAGAATGGGCTGGCTGAGCGACCTCATCGCACACTAAAGGAACGGATTCGATGTCTCCTGTATGCTGCAGGACTGGGCACAGAGTATTGGGCTGATGCACTGCTTCATGCAACGTGGCTCTATAATCGGACTTATCACAGTGCAATCAATACCACACCTCTCCAACTTTACACCGGGAAGGTACCCCTCATGGACAATCTGATCACCTTTGGAGCTAAGATCACTGCTAAACGCCCAGGCAACAGACCCAACACAACTCATCCTTGGACCTATGAGGGTATTTTCTTAGGGTATGGCAAAAGCACTGATAATATAAAATACTTTGATGTCCATACAGGCACGGATAAACTTGCCAGACATAACTCAAAGGATGAACTGCAATATGGTGATGATCCCTCATCGCGATCCCCTGCAGCTGCACATCTCCTTGAGACCTTTGCCGAAGGACCACATTGTGATCACACCTCAAATACTGGTCCAGGGGACTGTAAACTTAACATTGAGCACACATCCCCTAGGAACTCAACAACCATCGTTGACGAACTCATTAACGACTCGCCGGCATCCTACACGGCAGCAGCGGCTGCTACTCTTTGTGCTCGGATTACACGCACTAAATTTGAAAGGCCAGATATTGCGGCCTTAATCCCGGAACTGGACACACTAGATATATCCACTAATATATTCGTCCGTGAAACCTCACACACTCTTCCTCTTAAGAACACTAACAGCTTCCACCCCACGATGGGCTTTATTGTTGGCTCACACCCTGATATCTCTAATGCAATTGAGCTTCACCACATTCAGGCTGGCACCATTGCTCATCATCATATTCGCGGCTGGAAACGGAGACTTCGTGGCACCATCATTACTGCTGTTGACAACCGTGCTATTACTAGCAAACAGGACATCATCGATATCATACAACATGCACATCGAACCCACAAGAAATATTTAAAGTTCACATTTGGATCCCTGATTGGCTTTGCCCTCAGCGGTGAAGGCGTCCCTACACTTCAATCAGATCAGCTCAACGTGATTGCACATCACCTTCACTGCATTAACCATCAGTAGGACCTTTGGCCTGATAAGACCGAATGGCCTCCCTTACTTGATTCCCCCACCACTCGTGCAGAACAATATCGCATATCCAAACTCACTCGGCGATCTCTTCAGGGCACTGACCGATGGCAAGGCTTCTTACAATCGGAATGGAAACAACTCAATAGATATCATCGTGTCGGTATGTTTGGGGATCCAGTTGATTCAACCCCAGATATGACCATCCTTCCGTGGGTATGGACTTACCTTGACAAAGAAAATCCTCTCACCGGTGTGGATGAACCCAAGGCACGGGGAACCTGTAATGGTGGTAAACGCTATGGACAAGCAGTCACTCTTGCTGAAACCTACGCATCATGTGTTGAACAACCCATTCACAGGCTCACTTGGGCCCTTGCTGCTGCACTCAACCTCAAATGTGTTGGTTATGATGTTGGCAATGCATTTGCAGAGGCTCCACCTCCCAAGAGCCCCTTCTATATGCGCGTTGATGCTCCCTTCTACCAATGGTGGACAGAATGTCTTCATCGCGATCCCATCCCAGCAGGACAAGTTATTCCCATCAAAAAGGCTCTACAGGGACATCCAGAGGCCCCACGGCTATGGGACAAATATATCTCAAAACTCCTTATTACTGAACTGGGCTTTAAACCAACAACCCATGAACCTTGTCTGTATTATAAACATGATGAAAAGGATGGGATTACACTTATACTCCGACAGGTAGATGATTTCCTGATCGCTAATAAAAGCGAGCATGTCTGTGACAGTATTAGAGATCTTATTCAGCAACGCATGACTAACCCTCTCAATATACTGGGAACCATCCGTAAGTTTAATGGCATACATGTGGATCAAACACGATACTTCAATCATCTTCACTGTGCCCGCTACATTGAACGCATCTGTGACCATCATGGATGGACTGATACCTCTAGACTGAGGAAACGACCTACTCCCATGAAAGAAGAATCCAAGTATCAACGCCAAATACAGCTGTCTGAAGGCCCTACTGACCCCTTCGAAGCCCGGAAACTGGAACAATCTATGGGCTTTAACTTCCGCCAATGCATGGGCGAGCTTATTTATGCTCTCACCATCTGCCGCATCGATATCTCCGTTGCTGTCATTACACTCAGTCAACACTCGCATCGCCCGGCTAAGATCCACTATGAAGCTATTCATCATCTCTTTCTCTATCTCCTGGCCACTAAATATGAGGGTCTTACGTATTGGAGACCAGACCCACGTATGGATCTTCCGGATGCTAAACACCCTATTCCTGCCACTTGTAATTCAGCTACACTAACCAAATTCTACCAGTGTCCTAATCCCCTCCAAATACATGGATCCTGTGATACAACTTGGGCCTCTGATCGCCTACAACGACGATCAATGGGGGGAATTGTGATGATGTTGGCAGGTGCTGCTATCTATTATCGTACTCGCCTACAACCAACCATAGCACAAAGCTCCACGGAGGCTGAGTTCACTAACATGGCAGACGCTGGCAAAGCAGCTCTCTATCTTCGATGGATTCTATCTGAGTTGAGGATCCACCAATCCGTGCCTACTCCCATTATCGCTGATAATCATGGTGCTGTTAAAATGGCAAATGCACAACAACCCACACGCCGTACACGCCATGTTGAAATGAAATACTTTGTTATTCTACAATGGACAGATGATGAATTCATTAACTTTGTTGAGACTAAATCCGATGAGAATTACAGTGACTCACTGAGCAAACCAACTGGTTGTACCAAGTTTTACGAACATACTGATATCTTCATGGGCCGACGACGACCAGACTATGTATCCATGAACACTGTCACCACCCAAACTGAATCGCTTGTTGAGGTTGGGGTTGGGGGAAATAGAGACGGGTAAATGAGAAAAAATTGACGTACGGAAATTGCCAATAACTTGCCGTTATGGGGCCCGTACTTAGTAGCTCTAGTAAGTATGTACTGGTAGTGTAGCCAAAACCAAGACACGTACCGCACSGTACAAGTACCCTACGGTCCTTCGTCGCAAAGATAAGAGGCATGGCGAGTAACCGTCAACCACCATCATAATCATAAACGATTTCAGATTTCGGATTGGCGGCTGTTACAGCGGCAAGGGTGCGAAATATACGTGTGTTGCCAACAACCGTAGTTCTTGACTTCCCACAGGCTGCTGCCACAAGAATACCATGGACGAAGAACAAGAAGCACCGCAACAGGTCCTCGATCTGGCCGAGGCCTCAGTTCCGAATTCCTTGCGAGGAATCCGGGCCTGCAAGCGCTGTGGAATATTGAAAACCCTGGACCAATTCATTCTCGACGGTATGTATTCTATTCCATTGCATTGCCTGCATCGAATRTCTATGCCTGTAACTTTGTTCGTTTCCTCACAGCGATTCGTTCTTTCCCGCTCGTGAAATCTTTCATACTGAACCTCCCGGAAACTGCACAACACGCGACGCACAATGAATAATGCATAACGTTAACGCACAACGTGCAACTTTCGGCACAACACGCACCACTCGACACGCCGCTGTTGTTAGGCTGCGAGAACTGTCCATTTCTGGACATGATCGACAACCCGGAGCGCGCCAATATCTGTACTTCGGCCTTTTACGAGGGGCAGGCCGCGCTGATGGATCCCAGGGAATCCTGGGCCGCCAAGTGGATTCGGGTTGGCAACTACCTCCCGGGGGTGTATGCCCTGAGCATCACGGGTACATTTGATCGAGAAATCGAGGAKGACCTGGAGGCCCGGGGGATTCGGTGGAGGTGCCGCCCGGCCCCGTCGTCGTAGGAAGTTGTTGATGCGGAACGGAATWCATTTGAACCGAACCAAAMAAAGAAAGCAAGAAACATATACGAACACAACAAACTGAAGAGGAGAGACAAGTATAAGTATCGATCAAATACAGATGAATCGATTGARTTTTCTCCTTTGTGCGAGACAGATATACGGCCAGTAAGCATGCCGTACACATGCAAGGTCACATATGAATATTGTTSCAACGGAGTAGGCACAACACATCGGAATGGGAAATGAAATACGAGAGAAATCGAATAGAGGGGATTGGGACGGTGCTTGTGGAGTGGTACAYTTTGTAGGATAGTTCATCATTTTTCTRCAAACCATATGTTTCTGAAGGGAAAATTGTGCTCTCTTGGTACACTAATGATAATTTGAATAATTTCACTACAGTACACTACTGTGATGTTCTAGTGGAATGATGCGACTTGCTATTGCGTCGCATTGTTGTACACTTTTGGTGCWGGACTACTTTTCAAATTTGTTACGCTTCATCTTTATATCACAAGTTCTCTTCGTTCTATTGCCATGGTTGGTCCGTGTGGATCTCGCTCACGGAACGGCTGTGCGAACAGACCCATGSCACTCGACTCGACGGCCGCTATTTCCATAGCGATGCTTCCCGCATTGCTGAACCCATGTCCCGAACAGCAATATCTCTTGTTAGAAGTGCTTTGTTGCCAATCACTTGCCACTGCGGGACTTACCATGAATAGTCCTACTGTCTGGAGGACGAGACAATACAAGTCTCGCGCTCGTGTTTTTTTCTGACAAGTAAAAACTACAGTAAGCGTTTTATGTACTCATAACCGGTAACAGATTCGTTCCACACATTTGCCTTACTATGTTGACCCTTGAGTGCAGTACCGTACGTACCGTACGTTCGTACTTGTACTGGATACTTTTCAGTCACGCGGCGCGGGCGGGGGGAGACWACCAGCTCACAATTTCCAATTTCGTGAGCACACACGAGAAAACCAAAGATCCCATCCGCGAGGCCAGGCCAGGCCGGGGCGGGGCAGGGCAGCATACCGTACGGCATTGTTCTCGTCTGCCGCATCTGCCGCCTGCCTTCCAGACCCCGCGAAGCATCCCGCGCCACCACAAACCGCACAAAGCGCAATGTCCATCCGATCTGTCGACCTGTCCCGTTGGCCGCTTCCACCGAGCTCTTCTCCGCAGGAGCGGGTCCGGCTGTGCCTTCCCCACTACCAGGYCTGGCCCGTGATGCCGGTCCACAACGAGTGGCTCCTCTCGGTGTCGAGGGCGTACGGGTTCGACGACGAAGGCGGTGGCGGCGTCGGGGGAGTCCTCCGTCACCTGATTTACACGGCGAATTCGGAGCCGAAGGCGATCAAGAAGCTCATCTTCCGGACGGTCCGGTGCCTCCACTGCCACGTCGGGGCACGGGCTGGCCAGCACCCAAAGATCGACCTTGGAACCACGGGTGGCGGGGAAGACGAGGAGAAAGATGACAACGACAACGACAACGACAACGACAACAAAACGAACCCACCCACCAGGATTGCAATCCACACCTTCCACTACGAATGGCTCCGGAGGGTCACCGAATCCTGCGGGATAGCCTCGGTGGAAAAATGCGTCCGCATCGTCATCGACTACTACCAGAGCCGAATCAAGCAGGCCCTCCACTCGGACGGACCCGAGGCGGCCTCGGAGAAAGAGCTGGAGCTCTTTGGAAGAAACCGCGGGGACGATCCGGGCTTTCTCGCGGCCCTCGGACGATCGTYGCGGGAGACGGCCCCGGCGAACACCGGCAGCGCSAACGCCAACGCCGGGGCCAGCGGCGACGACCCCTCGGCCTGCTCCCAAGAGGACGCCGCGAGGGCCCTCGAGCGGTGCCAGGTCGGCCGAAACTCGGCGAGCTACGCCAGGGCCCGGAACGAGACGGAGGCCGAAACCA